GAAAGAGCAATAACTGTTACTGGACTTGAAAAATCTATTTCCTTGAAAAATAGTTTTAATAGAAAGATTTTATAAATTTCAACTGAAAGTAGCACTGACTGCTTGGTCAATGAAGGTCAAATGTTTCCTTATAAGGAAATTGCTAATATTACCATTACTACATAAAAAAAAAGGTACCCAGGATGAAAAAACAGATCCAGATCTAGGGCCTTTACACCATGTCTTCAGGTGTGTAGCTGTAGTCACCATGCTTCACCAATTGCTGGTTGGTGAGGTTATTTAACCCCATTGTGTGTGTGTGTGTATTATGGGCACATGGCCAAGTTGTTAGAACGTTTGCTATCTAACCGTGAGACCTGGGTTCAAATCTCACCATAGTAGATTTGTCAGAAAGGTTACTTCTTGATGTTATCAGTCTGGAGAGAGCAATACCAGCATGTGGCACCTTTGGAAAGTGCCTGAAAACCATACCACAGGTTGACCCAAGCCTTTTGAGTAAAATTAGGTAGAAGGAACCCTTGAGGGCCATCGATGGGTGTGCTAGCATCACATGTATATTACTGTTAGCGTCATACTTGTTTCAGATTTTAAGAGAAATATATATGCCCATCTTTTTATATATATATATATATATAATACAGTAAATTCGATCTTGCTAACCGAACGCTCCTCTGTGGCCAAATCGGCTAAAGTCACGTCAAGCTAAATGACAGTTCCATATAGGATACAGGTTTGAATCCTGTTGGAGGACGAATATTTTATGTGAAAATTTCTTGGACATTCTGGCTGGTAAATGTTGTTTAATACTGTTTATTATAAACAGAGCATTTACTTAAATATTTGTATCTATAAAAAGAATGTATAACATAAAAATGTCTTAAAAATAATTGTCGGACTTTGTCCATTTCATAATATATATATATATATATATATATAAGATGGGATAAAGAACAAATAGGAAACATTTATAAATCTAACATGTTTCACTTTTATTAAAGTTTCATCAGAAAATGAGATATAGAGAAAAAGAAAAATTCTGGCATTTTTTGTGTTGTTTGATTTTCATTGGTTAAGCAGACTTCACATGCATTTTACTTGTCAAGCAGCGTTTATGTGCAGTAGCATGCAGAAGGGAGGGAAAGGGTAAAGCAGCTTTGGATATCCAATCACAGAGTGAAATAAAAATTTAGTTTATATCTAATTTGAATATAGCAATTATTTCATGTTTTATCTGTTTTTATATATTTAAAATGTCTTCCTTTCTCACATTTCTCAGTACTAGGTTCTATACGCCCGCCACTCCTACTTGAGTCTTAGGGGCATACAGTCAAGGAGTTGGCCCTGGGCATCACCAAATTACTGCGTGTTACTGTTCACATGTATAATTTGTGTGTGTAAGTGTATCATAATTCTACAGGGTGTCCCTAAAGCCAGGACACACAGAAAATCTCATTAAGTATATTTTTTTTTACCTCCACAGATTAATCATGGCTTTGTCGAAAGAAGAATGAAATGACTTCTTTTTCTGGAGTATGCTAAATGAGAAGGTGTACTCAATGAAAATCACAGATGCAACACACTTGACTGAACGTATAAAGAGTGAATGTGCTAAAATTGACGGCAGTGTGAAGTTATTTCACCAAGTTAACATGAATGTTGCAATATGCATCAACCTTTGCATCACGAGTGATAGAAATCATATTGAATATTGTTATTTATTAATATTCCAATTCAATAAAATGTTGTTGAAAATTTAATTTCTTGAAAATATCCATTTTTGCCTCGGGTATCCAGACTTTAGGGACACCCTGTAGTTTGTCTATGTGGGATTTGGATGATAATGTATATTTGTTTGGGTGTGTGTCTACCAAAGATGCATTATTTATGTTTGTTGAATGTCTACACATTGATTTGGGATATTTTTACACAACATCAATTGTGGTGACAGAAGTAGATAGACATACCTTAGATTCTTTAAGAATGGATTTAATAAATATAGCATTTTGAAAGAATCTAAGGTATGTCCATTTACCACTGCCACAACTGGTGTTATGTAAAAACATCAAGGCAACTTCAATGATCCACCAACTTCTCTTGTAGCAAACTTGATTACAAAATATAGTGGATCATGTGGGCACTTTCAACGAACTAGTAATTGTGATATCTGTTCATTATTAATGAGTCTGCATTTATTGGTTAGTCAGAAATAAATCATTAGTCATTACAAGGAAAGTCAAAAATTATCTGCACTCTTGTTAGATATTAGGGCAAAAGTGCAGATAAACTTTCACTTACCCTCTTATATTTTAAGATGCCATACCCTGACATACAAGTGTGAGGTCATGGTATCCTGCGGTCAGGACCAGATTAAGACCCATAGGGGCCCTAAGCACTTAAAAGGTTTTTGCGCCCCCATACATCTGCGAGTTAAGTATACTAGTATGGAGTCTTGTTGAGTAGTGTAAATAAAGGATATCAACCAAGAAAATGCAATATGGAAACACTAGCTGGAAATAAATCTAGAAGGAACTGAAGGCACATATGACCATCGAGAGAGGCCGATCATCAGTTCCAGCTCAGAACAGCATCAACCAAGAAAGAACCAATCACAACTGAGAAGACACTATGTGCCACAACCAGATTCTAACAGAACTGTGAACAGAAGTGGTTGTGTAATCAACAAACTAGCATGTCACATAGACCTATGGTTAGTATAATGTCAAACAGACATTAAGATAGTCTACCTCTGTTCACAAAAATTAAATCCCATTAAGTTAATTAGTAATACTAACTTATTCAAGAGAGCTGATGTGATGTATTGAGTAAATAAAAGCTTCATTATCTCCCTTAGCTCATTTCCTTATAAACCAATCAGAATGGCAAGAAAAATTCACTGCGGGTCAGTTGTCTCCTCATTCAAAATGGCACCCGCTGATTCAAATGTTAATCATGTTTGACTTATTTCATTAGACATATACAACATGTCATTACAATTTCAGTGTGTCCCTCTCCTCTTGATGCCCTAAACACATGTTTATTTTGCTTAATAGTTAATCCAGCCCTGCCTGTGGTTATGCAATGGCTTTTGAGTTAAGAAAAAAAAATTACTTGGTTACTGTGTCATAAAAGATAAATAAATGACATATTTAAGAATTTTGCAATTCTACTGCTAAAATATCAAATATGTCACAATTCATTTTCTTGTTTATACACTTCAGTGCATGACTCTCCACAACTTCCTAATCTTTGTGATTCTTAGCAATGTTTGTCCTTTCTCCTCATCTCACTGCTGATTCCATTTACACTAGCTTGTTTTGGTAGTTATTAGCAGTTTCCCCTCTACTCCTCATGCCTTCAACACGTCCAGTGAGTGTCAAATTCTCCAAGTCCACTTTCCTCATTATATGTGCTAGAAATTTCAACTGTCAATTTATGATTTTATGTATAATCATCCTTTTTGTTAGTATTTTCTTTAAAACTTCTTCGTTGCTCATATGTTCCAACCATGGTATTCTCAGCATCCTTCTGTGGAGCTGTATCTCTGTTGCTTCATGTCTATTCTTTATCTGAGAGGAAATTGTCCAGCATTCATTACAATATCAGATGTTTGGTATTACATAGCAGCTCATAGGGCATATTATTACAAGCAAAAGACACAGGGGGTGGAGAATAGCAAATAACTGACTTAATGAGTCAAACTAACTGAATGACAGAGCAAGGATCAGAAAGAGAAAGATTTGGTTGGTTGTTTTTGTTTTATGGCATATCAAAACCTCAGTGGGTCATTTAATGCCAACAATTTTTTTTAAATAGATTCATAACAATAGTTTGATAAAAAAGGTGTGTATGTATACATATATATTTGAACCATTTTTCAATTACTCACATTTTTTAGTACAATCACACGTATTGCTGGTAATATTTTTTTTTTTTTTTCAAAAATGTATTGCTGGTAATATTTTTTTTTTTTTTCAAAAATGTATTGCTGGTAATATTTTTTTTTTTTTTCAAAAATGTATTGCTGGTAATATTTTTTTTTTTTTTCAAAAATGTATTGCTGGTAATATTTTTTTTTTTTTCTCAAAAATACATTGCTGCTAATAGTTTTTTTTTTTTTTCATCAAAAATTAATTTCTGGTAATAATTTTTTACAAAGTATTTCTGGTGTTAAAACCTATTTTTACACTTTTATAATGCTTTTACCTCAATTTCAGGGTTAACTATTTGCCTAAAGCTGGGACCCTAACAGGTGCTATCACATCGAGTCAGGGTGGACCTGGGAACATTAGCATTATTAAGAGGTGGTTCCATGCTCCTTAAAAACCTCCTTATCAGAGGTCATGCTGTTGGACGTAGTTTATCATCGTACCCAGGACGCGGATGTAGTTTATCGTCGCACCCAGGACGCCCCATTAAGGGGAGATTTACCCCTCTGCAGAGGTGCATCCGTTGTATTCTACAGCCCCAGCTGACAGGGCGGTAAGGGAACAGAAAGAGGTGAGTTAAAGAAGCAAAAAGAAGTTGTGGAGAGCTATGATTAACTACATCCTAAAAGGATATGGAACATGAAAGAAGAAGTAACAGTTCCCTATTAGCATTCTTTGGATAGTTTTACCTTTCATGAGTTAAAAAGCAGAATTCAGTTTTTGCATGCAACAATAAAATAAAATGTAGCAATAAAAATCCAAGATACACTGTGCAGAAAATATAACTAATGCAATTTTAAAATTATTTAAATATAGCCGTCATTTTTCAGACGGTTTGGTCAAACTAAGATTTAATATAGCCGTCATTTTTCTGACGGTTTGGTCAAACTAAGATTTAATATAGCCGTCATTTTTCAGACAGTTTGGTCAAACTAAGATTTAATATAGCCGTCATTTTTCAGACGGTTTGGTCAAATTAAGATTTAATATAGCCGTCATTTTTCTGACGGTTTGGTCAAACTAAGATTTAAAAATCACCCAAAATAGAGACAGGAGAGAAAAACAGTTACTTACATAGCCAGAGAAAGCAGTAACAGGATCAGGTACAATATCCCCACTGAAACTTCCGAGTAACATGCTATTGTAAGAGTTTCCATCATAAACAAACAGGATATCATAGGAGCATTCCGTATTCATCTTCTCAAATGTCAGGGTGATGGATTTCCGTGGACTTTGGGCTGGAAAACAAAAAAAACAAGATATGTAATCATATAGCAATATATTTATTCATTTTTTGGGGCTATTTTTTTTCTTCACTATAATAAACTCATGACCATATCCTGTTGAAAGATCAGTTGTATCATCACCAAAGCAACATCAAGCCTGGTCAGTACCTAGATGGGTGACCTCTTGGGAATTCCAGGTGCTGTAAACTTGAGTGCAAAGGCAGTGTAATCGTTAACAACTCAGAATTGGAAATTGTAGAGTAGAGTTTCAATTCCAGTTGGGTTCATTATATATACTTACATACAAATACCCTTGGGAAATGTATGAACCCACTTCTCCCCCAGCTATAGGTTAATTAGTAAGACTTGTATCAGTAAATTATTATTAGCTCCAAAAAAAATTTCTATAATCTGAAAATATTTTCTGACTTTAAATAACATTCAAAATGTTGATAAGTTGTAAAAAACAAAATCAATCAATCTTCATTATAATAGTCTAGTGAATTGCTTAAAACACATTGGATTCCTTGGCAGTTAAGAGTTCTACCATTAGGTCAGGAAGTGCTGAACAGTCAAATAATCTGGTTTGGTTTGGTTTGGTTTTTGTTTTACGGCATATGAACCTCAATGGGTTATTTAATGTTGACTAGATGTTTATTGCTGGTAATATTTTTTCCCAAAAATGTATTGTTGGTAATATTTTTCTTTTTGAAAAATGTACTGCTGGTAATAATTTTTCCAAGAAGTATTGCTGGTATTAAAACCTATCTTATACTTGCATAATGTTTTGACACCTTTTGGGGCGTGGGTAACTATTTGCCCATAACTGGGACCCTGACAGGGCTACCACCCCAGGTCAGGGTGGACTTGGGAACACCAGCAACTAAGAGGTGGTTCCATGCTCCTCAAAACCTCCTGATCAAAGGCCTTGCTGTCAGATGTAATTTATTGTCTTACCCAGGACACAAATGTAGTTTATCATCTTACCCATGATGGAAATAACCTGGTTCAGTATAAAATACAAACAACACAAAGGTAAATAAAACTGGTAAGTACTAACTGATGCAAAGTAAAATAAAAACTATCAACCCCAGAGATTAAATAAAGGTTTCAGTTAGAAATTCCAAGATGGGTACAAAGTATGACAACAAATGCCAAACAACACTCGAAGGGTACAATAGACAAAACATTGTGGTTTAAAGGGACCAATTCTCAATTTCAAATTTTCCATAATTCCATTTCAGGTTTTAGGAAATTCTGTTCTTTTTTTCCATTTTCAGTATAAATTTCTGTTTCTTGTTTCATTAATACTTGAAGGTGAGAATGTATAACAATATATAAATGTTGTTAAAACAAGAAAATAAAATGAAAATGAATAATTTTACTGGCAGGAATATCCATCTATTCCAGGGGTCAGCAACTCATTCAACCCCGCACGCCGGATCGTGTTATAATGATAGGTCGCGAGCTGGACAAAGGCCATTAATGAAAAATTAAGGAAAATTACATATGCAGACCCCTGTCAACCTAAATATTTAAAACCATAATGAAAGTAAACATTGAGAAATCAGAAAAACAAAAGAAAATCTAAAATTAAAAAACACCTAACAAAAATTACTTTTCCTCAAGGAACGTCAAAATACTTCAAAGTGAAAAAAAAATGGATGAAATTATGACATGTATGTCTGAAACTTATTTAAAATTGTTCCACAAATGAACCACACACACACACATCAAACAAAAACGAAGCACATATACCCATACATACGAGTAGAAACAGTTGCAAACATATATACACTTTCGTACGTACACATGCGGCATCATCCACACATTCATGAGGCATGTATGTATAATGCATGTATGTTTAACTGTCTTTAGATTTCTGCTACATCACATGTCAGTCCCTCCCTGGCCTCTTTCACTTTATCATTCCTTTCGCTTCTGTTATCTTTTAATGTAGCCAAGGGTCATAACAAATATGTATCCATTATTTGACATTAAACGTAGACAACGCAACTTGGTAAAATAAGTCTCATGAAAGATAACTGGCAGATAGACTCATTGGTAATCAGGCTCGCGGGCCGGTTAAAATGCCTTCGCGGACCGGATCCGGCCCGTAGATTGCCGATCATTGATCTATTCTATAAGTTGATCCAGCTTGATATAGTTTTGTACCTCATCCCTTAATCTAACTTGATGACTTTCTGGGACAAACCTGGCAAAGAATGCTACAATACTAAATAAGAATTAATTGAAATTTCCAAAACCTACAGAAAGTAGCAACACAAAGTTTTATAGGAAACAAAAAGCTACATTAATTTTTAATTTTATTTAAAGCAAAAAATAACAGGAAATTGTGGCAGGTCATGATTGAAAAAGAATTATATATATATATATATATATATATATATATATATATATATATCCATGATCTGGATTGTTTAAATTATAGTACAGGTTGAGAATTCTTTATCTGAAATTCTTGGGACTGGGAGTGCTTCTGTTTTCAGATTTTTTGGGGATTTTGGAATACAGGCTATTTAATTTATATATAGCATATATAGAGGGACCAATTTTCTGTTTCAAATTTTCCTTAATTCCGTTTCGGGTTTTAGGGAATTCCAATTTTTTTTTTCCCCATTTTCAGTATAAATTTCTGCTTTTTGCTTCCTTATAATACTTAGTGAGAATGTATAACTATATATAAATGTTATTAAAACAAGAAAATAAAAGGAGAATGAATAATTTTATTAGCTGGAATATCCACCCAAATGTTCCTCCAGCCTTTGTACCTCATACTTCAACCCTTAAGCTAACTTGATGAGTATCCAGGACAACCTTTACAAAGAATGCTACAATCCTAGTAATTAAGTGAAAGTGGCAAGACCTACAGAAAAGTAGCGCCACTGTCTACTAAAAGAATTAAATAAGAGGTGAGTATAAATAAAATCCAAAATGTCTGAATATTTATTCTGTTCATCTTTCCATAGGTACACAAGAAAAAATAACTTTGCAAATATTTTAGTCAAGTAAATATTTTAAAAACTTCAACATTGTAAGTCTAACGACCAAGGTGAGCATGCTGATCTGAATAGCAAAACAATTAAATTCCACATCTCATAAATTTCAACAAGAATTTTCATTATTAATTTTTTGGTTAGTCTTTTCTTCATCATAAAATTTCTAAGTCAAAGAAACTGACTGTTGATCAACTGATTGATTTGTTTTTCACAGGTTACCAACTCCCTTGTGGGGTTATTTAAAGCCGAAACATATTTTGAATTAGAATGATGTTCACTCTGTACAAGGCTCAAGAGCCACCCAAAGTAGAGGGTTATAGAGTAAGAGGCACTACCCCAAGCAATGTGATAATGCCACTAAGACACAAAGGAAATGAAAGAGAAAGAAAAGACTTTAGAGAAAACCGGAAACCCAATCCTAAACAGGAAACAAGGGATAAACCTCTACTCCTGTTCAAAAAGTCGGGGAGGACTGTGAACTGGATGATAGTCAAACCTATCTAATTCTTTTGAAGAAAAAAAAAATAAACGTAAATATATAGTAAATAAAAGTTCAGAGTTTTAAGTGAAGATGTTAGGAGTATAGAGCTGAAGCAAATTTTAGAATGAACTAGAAACCCAAACATAAACAGGAAACAAGGGATAAACCTCTACTCCTGTTCAAAAAAGTCGGGAGGACTGTGAACTGGATGATAGTCAAACCTATCTAATTCTTTTGAAGAAAAAAAAATAAACGTAAATATATAGTAAATAAAAGTTCAGAGTTTTAAGTGAAGATGTTAGGAGTATAGAGCTGAAGCAAATTTTAGAATGAACTAGAAACCCAAACATAAACAGGAAACAAGGGATAAACCTCTACTCCTGTTCAAAAAGTCGGGGAGGACTGTGAACTGGATGATAGTCAAACCTATCTAATTCTTTTGAAGAAAAAAAAAATAAACGTAAATATATAGTAAATAAAAGTTCAGAGTTTTAAGTGAAGATGTTAGGAGTATAGAGCTGAAGCAAATTTTAGAATGAACTAGAAACCCAAACATAAACAGGAAACAAGGGATAAACTTGCTTCTCTTCAAACTTTTTTTTTTTCTTTACAAGTGAATATCACATTAGCAATCTTTGAGAATAACAATGACTTTTCACAAGTCTTACTATTTAAGCCATAGCTTGGATAAAATGAGAAAGGAAAATAACCCTTTGTGGGTTATTTAAAGCTAAAACATTTTAAATTATAAGGATAATACTTTTTTTTTTTCTTAATTTTTTTTTTTTTTTTAAATTTTTAATTTAAAAAAATTTTTAATTCAAAATTCTCAGCACCCCTCCCAACACCACCTTTCCTTTGCATGCATATGCAGTCACATTAATATAAAGATAAATTTAGTCCTAAGGGATGAAACACGTCACACAAAAACTTTTTCCACTTTGTCATACTTCTTTCTCCCTAAAAATGTAAACAATATAAATTTTTATTTTTAGTCAATACAAACCAGATAAAAAATTGAACAACAATTGAATTTAGCTGCCACAAATTCTAAAAAGACCCAAGAGATTCGCTTTCCAGATTTTCCAAACCGAGGAAATATATTATACATGAGTGCTTATTATAGATAAATAATTATGATACTAAGATGAACATAAAAACAGGCAAACCATTTCAAGATGAAAGTTTGGCAGTGCATGATCTTCCTAACTTTAATTAGGCTTAGTGATATACTCAGCTATGATTATTAAATATCAAAATAAAAAAAAAACTATTTCCTTTTGACTGTGAAAAAAATATATCCACAGAAGACATTTTTCAAAATGATTACTGAAGAAAAAGTGCTGATTCATCCTATAACATTTGTTGATTTTATTATAATGTCTATTTAAGAAAAAAACAATTATCCTT